CGCCTCGCCATGGTAGATCAAAGATGTTGAGGGGTGTACTCACTTCTGTGAGATACTGCATATAAACGTGTTTTATTCAATTTCCAACAATAAAATTTAAAATGCATAAACCAGCAATCACCCTTCACCAATCAATCCATGCTAAACTTCAAGACCTCTATTATATGTAAGTGTATGTAAAGCCACAAAACAGAATTCTGACTTACCTGAGAAATGCTTTCCTTGGAATACATTACAGGAAAGAAGATCTTAGTCTTTGAGGGCTGGATACTGCAGTTAATTTCAGGTGATTGGGCACTGGCAAACAAAAATGTAAGGACACCCCAGCATAACCCCTCCCACTCCCAGCAAGCCTCAGTTTAGTAGCAATCAAACAGTGGATCATAACAGAAGGGAGGGGCCCGAGTCCTGTAATGTACTCAAATAAAGGGTGTTACAGTCAAGTACAAAATCTATTTTCTTAATCAGAAACAAAATACAGAATCTTTGTCTCAGATGACTGCAATGTCCAAAAGCGATGCAACTGAGGTGTGGGCAACACAGCAACAAAAACAAATAGGCCCACAAAACAAACAGGAAAACAGAGGGCTTGAAAAATCAGAGAGAAACCAAAATCACCATAGGCCAGAAACTGGCATCAAAAGAAGCCAGATATTCACCTGGTAAAACTTAAACCTGTGAACAGAACACCAGGTAGCAGCCTTGCAATTCTGGACAACAGATTAAGCATGGATAGATCTGGTGGCCTTAATGGGAAAGAGAGGAACCTCATACTTGAGGACATGTCTATCCCACCTGGCAATGGTCGAACAAGAGAACAACGGCCCTTGGAAATGACAGAGTAAAATTTGCTTTCTAAAGGAACACACAACACATACCACATCCAGATTTGGAGCAGGGCATAAGAAGGAAAGCACTTTGGAAAGAAAAGAGGCCTTAAGCCACAAGACAACCTTACCCCTGTGTAAGACTAGAAAAGGATATTTACATAAAAAGAGCAGTAATTCTAGGACAAGTCTTTCCGTGTCACTAGGTAGTGTACAGGGGGAACAATGGGAATGACACTGTGCAAAAGGCTTTCACCAATGAGCAAGATGCAGGCAGTCTCTGGAAAAGTATGGCTAGAGCCAAACTCTGACCTTTCATGCTACTTAATTCCAAACGCTGATGTAGACAAGATTGGAGAAAAAAAAGTTTTGTTCAACAGTGTACGTCCTGGGGTGGAAATTTGTAGCTTTGAACATGCAAAGAAAGCATTCCAGGTGTAATGGTAGACCACGAGAATTTAATTTCCTAGCTTTACGTAGCACAGGGATGACCGAGTATAGTAGACCCCTGACTCTTAAGACCTGATCTTCACAGCCAAGCAGTTAAAGCCAGAAACTGAGAAGCAGAATGGTGGACCAGCCCATGTGGCAGAAGATCTGGTTGATCTGATAAGGCCTGCGGAGAGTACTCCAGGAGTTGGATGACATCAGAATTCCACATTTTCCTGGGCCAGGCCAGTCTAGTGCAGTGAGGATTGCAGGGTCCCCATCTCCCCCCCCCCCCCCCCCAATCCTGTAAAGCAGACAAGGAAAAAAACTTTAGTATTGGAAAGTCATATTTAAAGTTGAACTGATCCCTCAGTCACCAGGGCATTTATCATGAAAGCCCTGGTACTGGCAACAAACCTGTCCAGCTTTTTGTTGAATCTGGATGCAAAAAGATCTACATCTTGTGTCCCCCACCTGTGACAGAAGTCTTAAAACACAAAGTCTGCCTACCAATTTTCCATGCATGGAATTTGCACTGTGAACAATGCTGGAATGTGGAGTTCTGCCTCAGTTAGAATAAGGTCTGTTTCCCTTTGAACTGCGCAACTTCTTTTGCCCCCTTGGTGGTTGATTTAAGCCAAAACTGCGTGTTGTCTGACTGAATCCTAGACAGGTGGCCACGTAGTTGTGAGGTCAGGCAAATCCCATGCAGGAAAACAGTTGAGTTGCAATGGTCTGGATTGAAACTGGGAATACCATTAGGATACCATTAGGCTCAGTACCCTCATGCATTAGCAAATGGTTGGGTGTTACCAGGAGCTTGTCCAGAGAGATGAAATCTTTGGACCAGGCCATTTCCATAATCAGACCCAGATATTCCAAACAGTAGGCTGATTCCCCACTCTGACTTCTGGAGATTTAGGAAACATCCAACATCTGCAGATTCTGCACAGTTGGACAGACATTGGCTGACAAGGTCTGAACCAATTGTCCCTTCAAAATGAGGTCTACCCAGATATTCCATGATGGGGATACCCTGAGACCGCATCAGAACTAGGACAGGAGCTAACACCTTGGAAACAAACTGGAAATAATGCAAGCCCACACCAAAAGAAAGGTAGCACTGATGCATAGGGAAGAAGGGGATGTATAGGAAGGTATCTCTAATGTCCACAGAAGGCAAGCAGGTGCCCCTGCTGAAGGGCAGCTATGACTGACCTGGCAGATTCAATCTGGAATTTGTTGAGAATATTGAGATCCAGAATGGGGAGCATTCCTTTTAGCCTTGAGGATAGGGAAAGGGTTGAAATAGAAACCCTGAAATCTCTGTTTCCAGAACTGGGGCAATGATCCCCTGTGAAAAGAGCTGCTAAAGAGCAGTGTGTAGATCTGTCCAATTCTGTGGGGAGGATGGCAAGTGGGGAAGGTTATATGGAGAATAGAACTGTAAGCTAGGTTTGGACCTAGATGCCCAAGGGAATTGAAACAAGCTCTTCTTCGTCTCAGGAACTGAGGGTTACTGTAGTGGCTTTTGCCTTCTCCTTCTGGAGTAAGAGAGCACTCTTACCCCCACTAACTTCCTTAATGGAAGCGTCTAAAGAGTCACCAAATAAGCACTGTCCTTCAAAGGCTTATGCATGAGCTGCTTTTTACATGGAAGTTAAACAGCCCAATATTTTAGCCAAATGATCCTTTGCATATGCATTGAAAGGAGGCTCATTCTGGAAACTAGGTAGAGGGCATATGCCAACTCATCCACACAGTGGCATAAGGCAACAGGCAAGAGCTCCAACTGAAGCAGTACAAATGAATCCATGGGAATGGGCCATGCCCACAGACCAGACATCTAGAGTCAGACAGACAGACATGGTGATGGCAGGTTGCATTGTATAGCTGGGGAATTACTGTAGTTAGGATTGATTTTGGATTAGTTAAATAGATGATTCCCCAGAGAGAATGTATTCCATGCGTGAAAGCATGAGCTTGTTAACGTGAAATTTCATCAAAGGATTTTAAATGCTTTTAAACTTTACTGATTTGTCACAATGAAGAATATTGAAAGCTGAATGTGCCAGAAAACTCTGTGGAAAGACTACACATCAGGACCTGCCAGAGAAAACATGGCCTTAAGTAGGACTTCTCACTGCTTATCCACAGGGCGTTGAACACTTAGACATCTTCAACAGGGATTGTAAGGTTTTGTTAAGGCGGAAAACAGCTGGGAAAATGCCAGGGACTGGCCTATTTTTCAGGAACACCTCTTCAAAAGATAGGTATTGGTGAGAAAAGTGCTTGGAAGGGATGATTTTCTCCACATGAGGCCAGTCTCATACAACACAGGCTCCAAGAGAAAATGTAGAAGAAATGTTTTGGCTATCTTTAAAGAACCCAGATTGGTGACCTTTGGGTCAGCTGCTCCAGAGCAAGACATAAGTATACTGTATCAATAAGGGCAGAAATGAAATCCATCACCTTGGGAGAGATATTGGTGGATAGGGCATCAGCTTGTGCAGAGTCTTCCAAGTCAGATGAGGAGTCCTTGTCCTTCTCTTCAGGGAACATAAAAGTCATAAGAGCAGACTAAGAGATGGACTGTGGAGAAGAGGCAGAGGAAGCCTGCTTGTGTCCCCTGCAATCTGAGGCATCCAAACAATATTTCCAGGCATAGTGACTGGGAATTCCTCTTTTGAAAAGACAACAGGAAGGGAGTGTTCTAGAAAGATAGAGAGGCCTCTCAGGAGGGTAGTAAGTCAAACTGAGGGAAGTGGTCAGGAGATGCTGCGGACCCCTCAAGCCACAGGAGCAAAAAAACAGACAACCTGTACAGTAGAAAAGGAAGAAGCTATGCCTTCTGTGACCAGTCACTGTATGCAAAGTAATTGCTGTGCTGTCCATCCAGGAGAAAACAGGAAGTGGATGTGCCAGCAGCTGCACGCCTGAGAGATTAAGTGGCCTGTGCCTGCATAGTAAGATTTGGTAAAGAGGCGATCCCAGGAGCAACAGAAAATGGTGACAAATTTAAATTGGAGCAGCTGAAAATCCCACAATGGACTGCAATTGAAAGTGGCATAGTCCAGCATCAAAAATGGACTTAAGGTAGCAAAAACTCCCATGTTGCCAAGCAAATGTGGGCAATGGCTGTAACTCCCACTGCAGACTGCAGCTTAAAGAAGACAGAGCGCCAGGTTCTGTGGCAGCAGCACCCTAGGTTCCCTAGATAGGGGCACAATCCTGCCATACTGCAGTGCCTTGTGGTCCAAGTAGCCAAATAGAAGGTAGGGACAAGGCCCCTCCAGCTCTTTGCCAGTGTTCAATCACCTGAGGGTAAGTGCATAACCCAATTGTCTAAGACAAAGATTCTGTGTCCTGTAAAGTATGATTAGAAACTTCTGTTTAGCTTTGGATACAGTAGGAAAGGGTTAAAACACAGTGTACCACTGGGGAAAGTTACCGTAATTTCCTGTCCTACCGAATTTCCTGTCCTAGAACAGAACAGCAAGTTAGAGGAGATCTCTCCAAATGAGCGGAATTACCCTCCTAAACAAATGTCCCTGGAACAGGTGTTGCCATTAGTTGATTTTCCCTTACCTCTTATTTTGCAGAAAAAAATGAAATGTCCCCACTCTCCATCCAAATGGATGAAAAAAATGGTTTTGTCTAAAGATACATTTTGATATACACCATTGTCCGTTGCACTTATTTTAACAGTCTAGTGTAATCCTAAATCATCAGTTATTCCCTTACCACAAAGAGGGCCCTCAGTCTCATTAGAAGTGGTGACTATGGAAGCCATGTCTAAGGAAGTCGGACATTCAACCACAGGTACTGTTCGTTCATTAGGTGAGATTATATCCATGTCCATATTCACAGAAGAGGTTTTGCATGTTTCCTGATCTTGTGACAGCTTTTCATTTTCAACTTTATTGGTTTGAAGATTACCTGCAAGTCAAAGTATTTACTGAGTGTCAACAGTTTTTTTTGAATGAATAAAAGTCAACTCAGTAGATATATTTTAACAAACAAAGATGATCCACATCTGTAACTTCTGATCAAAGACCAATCTGAAAATCACCTTGTTTATAAGCAATGTTAGCTGGCAACCAACCAAACAATATGCTATATACAAAAATCTGATTGCTCGCAATGAACGCCACAGTTTCCTGTCAGTCAAGTTTACACTTGATCAGCTTGATTCTGGCATTAATAAGAAACCTCTCTATCTTATTTATCAGAGCAGAAATGTTAGGGAAAAATAATGGACAAGGCATAGGTGACTGGTCTCAGTAATCATGATTATTACTTTAACAGTTAATGGATCCAACCTACAATACCATCATCCAAAAGCATTAACGATTTTAAAACACATATTTAATAAACATGCTGGGCTCTTGTAGTGTTGTTACAAGGAACCTGCTGCTCCATATCTTTGTATGTATTGTAACTTTCTTGCAGCACCTGCAGCTTTTGAGAGACTTTTATTCAGCTTTAGCTTCGCTTTGTTTTGGAGGTACCACGGGAAGCACCAAAAAGCAAATCTTTCCATCTGGATTTAAAACTAATAAAGCCACTGATGGACTTATAATTTCAAAATATACCTGTACTAATGAGGAAAATAACATATTGGGAATATTTGTGTGCAATATAGCGAGGACTAGGGAGAGAGGCGCAGCAAACCAAGAGGATCAGCGGAGCTGGGGGTTACTACTGAACGGGGGATCAGCAAAGCTGGGGGATACTACTAAGTGGGGCATCAGCAGAGCTTAGACTACTACTGAGCAGGTGATCTGCTGAACAAGGGTACAAATAAACTGGGGATGCACTGAATGAGGGTACCAATGAGCTGGGGATCTGCTGAACAGGGATACCAATGAGCAGGGGATCTGCTGACTGGAGGTACTATTGAGCTGGGGTTTTACTAGACCCCTTAAAACAAATATAAAATCAACACACAAAACACACACACAATATTTGCTAAGCTTCATTAAAGCTCCAAAAAAGCATCATAGAAGCATCAACAGAGGATCATCGAAGCATCACCAAAGCATCAAAAACACATAAAAAAAGCATGTTGAATTGGTAGGTGCTTTAATGAGTGTTGAAGATAAGCCCATACAAAGTAAAATCAATGCTTCATTTTGTCAGTTTAAGGTCATATACTTCGGTAGCAAACAATAAATTGCGATGTAGGTATGGAAAGCAGCTAATTATTTTTGTTATTCATTTCAGTGATCTAAGTTTTGGTCTATTTTGAACAATGTTTGATTACATCCCATTGGGTGTTTTACAGACATATTAGCATTTTACAAGTTTTAGGCAGGTGTTTTTGAACATATATCAAGCTTCATTTATTTCTTTCCTGGACTGGGAAAGGGAAAGAGAATTGTCAGAGGAGAGGAATTTATCAGGCATAAAAAAATAGGCACGAATGCACGTTTCATGCTTTCAAAGGCTCACCCCCTGAAGTGTATAGGAGCAATTGAGTGTACAAGTGTGAACAGGGACAATTAGAAAGAATGTAGTCAAAGAGTGTAGTCATGATTAGGAAAACAAGCTGAAAAATGCTCATGTGTGAATGGGGTTAACTTGTTATACTGTGGGAGAATTAGCCATGTTCTCAGTGAACTTCTGTGTATATCAGGATAATGAACAGACTAGAAAAGAAACTGAAGATATACTGTAAAGCATAACTATTCTTTTTGGATTACATGACCAGGTAGTGAGGGTGAAATCCCTCCAAATGAGAGAAAGTGATAAACACACTTTTAGTACAGTAAGGAGGAGTCAGAACATCTTACATTTTTAATTCCTCCAACTCTAATCTCTGCTGGTGATGTCAACAGGCAATGGGCACACTTATACACATATGTAGGGATTGCCCACTGATCCAACCTTTTTGGTCTCAAGTACACTATCACTTTCAAAGTGACAACTGAGACCTTAATCTATTCTCCAGAACAATACTTACTACATCTGACAGTTCTCCCTCTGAAGCAATACAAAAACTCACTTGCGATGCATATGCTAAATGCAGCCAAAGCGTGCATACCAGTTCACTGAGGTTTCCCCACACCACCCACAATGGTAGAATGGTTTACACAACACGAGAGTAGCTGAAATGGAGGAACTAATTTCTATTGCTAAGGATTCTCCTAAATTCATGAAAACCTGCGCCTGTTGGAGATATTTCCAAACAACTGCAGAATTCCAATGGATAGTGTTGCCCACTCCTTGTCCAGACAATGATAGTGCCACCCCTTCCTAAATTGCAATAATCCATAGAATGAACCACACATAACTCTCAGGCAACGCTGAGCTGGGTGGGGCTGTTATATACCCCCTTTATACTGTATCCTATGGAAGGGCCTCAATGTCAACGGTGGATCCACCTCTTTGCCAAATCTTTACCCCCCCTCCTCCCCCCCCCTCATATTTCCCGCTCCTCTTTTTGTTCTCTGACTTCAATCTCCCGATTATTCAGCTATGTGCAGGGAGGATTACAATGGCCACAGTGCAAATAGTTGACCTTGAGGATGCCCCTTGGAAGTTGATACCTCCGACAGCTATATCAAGAAACTGCAGTTCACGGAATCGGGGGCCCTCAGGCCATTCCCTATCCATCTTACTTCCTGTAGCGACACCAAAACGTTATTGTTACTTGTGTTTCTCAGCTCGTATACAAACTCTCGCTACTTAACAAATAGAAAACTGTATATTTGATTCTGTGACTCTATTCACTGGATCTAATGTAATTACCCTTGAATTATACCTTTTTGAGGTCTAATAATATTTGATTCTGTACTGACAAATTTATTTCAATAAAACTTGAAAAAAAAAAAAAAAAAAAGAACATCTTACATTTTTTGCCGATGGAGTCCCTTTTGGAAAGATTCCCCTCACTCCCTGCACAGTGATGATGGTAGCCAGAAAGTGTGAGCAATAAAAACAGGCGGGTGGTATTACACATTTTATCTCTGCCATGATAACATTTAACTAGATGGAGGTTAGCATGTAACTAGATGGGGGTTAGCACTTAGACTGAAAGTTTTAAAGGTTAGTTCACCTTTACCAATAAACTGCCTAAGTAGATAGGTTCGATAACCAAAGTTGAATAATGCCCTTGCTATAGGTGTGGGCCATTTATGTACCTTGTGAAGCCCAGCTGGCAAACCTCTAGGATGTTACTAAGGACCGTTACTAAGAAAGGCCTAGTGTTACTGCTCACCTTCACCATCGCAGAAGGAAGCTCTCAAACACTGAGCTCAGAGCTACTGCAACAAGGAACAGAAAGCACATGTGAGGAGGTTTGAATCAAAGAAAGAGCTCACGCCTGTAATGGTGAAGGTAAAGAGTAATATTTGGCCTCTCTTAATAACGATCTTTAGTAACGTCCTAAAAGTATTTCAGTCTGGCTTCCTGAGATCTGTAAATAGCCTACACCTATATCAAGGGCATTGTTAACAGCTTACCCACCGCCGTATGGCAGATATACTGCTACACGGCGGCACGGGTGCGCAAAATCACGTATATATACACATGATTTTGCATATCCGGGTAGGGGGTGCGTGCGCCCTACCCGCGCCGCCATTTTCGGCCACGGATGTCAATCACTGGGTCCTGGCTGGTGATTACCCGCCGGCGCTCGGTGATTACCGGCAATCACCGACGGGGGGTGGGGGGTGCGGGGGGACTGTTTTGTTTACAGCCATCCCGAACAGTGTGCTTACAGTGAAGTACAAACACCCCGCCCCCTAGTAAAACAATCCCTACACACAGTTAACTCTTTGATCGCCCCTCATATTAACCCCTTCCTGCCCAGTGTCATTAGTACAGTGTCAGTGCTGTTTTTTAGCACTGATCACTGTATTAGTGTCACTGGGGATGTCAGTGACAACAAGTTAGTTCCCCCCAGTGTCAGAATGACCGCCGCAGTCCCGCTAAAAGTTGTTGATCGCCGGCATTACTGGTAGTTTCCCTACTACCCCAGTATCTATACCGTCATTTGTAAACGCTATAACTTTCATGTAAACCAATTAATTTACACATATTGGGATTTTTTTTTTTTTTTTAGCAAAGACATGTAGCAGAATACATTTTGGTCTAAATTTATGACGAAATTTGATTTTTTTAAATTTTTTTACTGGACATGTTTAACCTCCCTAGCGGTCTGATTATGTCCATATTTCTGTGCATTTTTTTGCATGGAAATATGTATTTTTTTTATTGTCGGCCTGTAATTTTTAGGAATAACTCACTGAAATCTGTCTGAACAAGAGTCTAGTAAACATCCCGGGTATGATAAAATTTGAAACACAAATTCATAAATTATAATTTAATAAATAATCATAAAAATAATAATATAATAATAATAAATGTAATTCAATATAATCAAACCAAAAACACTGAAATTTGAAATATAGCGCCAAGTTCGCACATCACTGAGCAAAGTCGCAAAATCATTTTCAGTGTCTGATGACGAATTTCCCCACGAATCATTATCACTCAATTCTACAAGTGGTTCTAATTTACTATTGCTGTTCTCTAGCTGGTCTAAAACAGGTTTTGACCTAAAGGGACACTTTTTGGACGCCATGGACGTTTCTCAGTTTCCAGGTAGAAAGAACAGTAAAAATGCCGGCAGGGGACAGGACAAAGCACTAGGGACAAACTGTATGTGAAATGGTTTGATACAGTAATGGTTTACTATGTGATTTTAGTGTATTGAGTGAATGTCACTTTCTGTCATTTTCAAATTTCCCGCTGTTCCGTCCCCCGTACGTCCCGACGCTTGCAGGAGACGGAACCCGGGAAGACAGATGCCGGCATCCACTGGATTACATTGCCGGGGACACTGCAGGAGGGACATCGCGGGAGCCCAGGACAAGGTAAGTGAAGAACAGATGCCGGAGCAGCGCCACATGGTAAGCCCGAGTGTAGCTAGCAAAAAGTCCAAAATATTGTTTCTTTCCTCCTTAAAATGGTCAGTCTTTTGCTTACGGCACAAAAAATAACACAGGCGATCAAATACCACCGAAAGAAAGCTCAATTTGTGTGAAAAAAAAAAGATGGAAACTTCATCTGGGTGTGGCAATGCATGACTGCGTAATCGTCAGTTAAAGTAACGCAGCTCCGTAATGCAAAAAATGGCCTGGTCAGGAAGGGAGGTAAATCCTCTAGAGGGCAAGTGGTTAAACTTTGGTCAAAGCTGCACAGCTTGTTTTTATCTACATATGTCTCTTATCTGCATAGGCAGTATTTTGGAAAAGGTGAACTAACCCTTTAATGTCACCCTACACAGAAACCTTAATTTAAAGAACCATGCATAGTGTTCACCCTACCTAACATCTTCCTCTAAAACCTTTCATCTGCTAGTATAGGTCGCATTTTTAAATGTCTAGGTCAGCCATTTTCAACCAGGGTTCCGTGGAACCCTTGAATTCCTCCAGGTTGGCTAGGGGTTCCTTGCGGTGTGGCTAACTGACCTCCCAACTGATGGTACCCATGTAATTCCAGGTCCCACACCACTTGGCAGAGTCAGCAGCATGACTGCAAGGGTGTCATTCTGACCAACCCTGTAAGGGCTATATACTTTCCACTTCCCACCACCAATCTCTGGGGCATTTTCCCAATGACCCCCGATAGACTAATCATACCAGAGGTTCCGTGAGATCTAAAAAAAAAAAAAAAAAAAATGTTTTCAAGGGTTCCTCCAGGGTACAAAAGGTTGAGAAAGGTTGGTCTAGGTAGTTTCTTTGGTTTCACTTATGCTTAAGCCAGCCTCCTGCTCTCACCATTATTTACTTGTAGCATTTCAGTCTGGAGCTGGAGTTGTGCTTCACCAAGCAATTTCACAACTGATTCAGCTGGACTCTTCCCCCATTCACGCCTCTGGTGATCTCCTTCATCCAGTTTTATTACACCAACTGTAAGATCTAAAAAAAAAAAAAAAAAAAAAAAAAAAGATTGATAACAAAACCAAATCATATGTGTTTAAATGTCAAATCATGAAAAAAAGGCAATCACTTCTGTCACACATTTAACAACATTCATTTAAAGGTAAACTGGCAGAGATAGAGCTATGGAAGCTGTTGTTGCTGATTCATTTTTAAAGTTGCATGGCTGTCACAGTTATCAATGTTTTGCTGCTTAGAGAGTCACCAATCAACAAAAAAAGTGGAGGTCAGGAGGTTGGGATTCAATGACCAAGAAGTAACGTGAGGAAGAGGATTGCTCTAGGTTTTGTACTCTAAGAAGTAATGGTAGATCCCACATGTCTATCCTAACAGGATCCCTTTAGCGGTGTATATTATTTAGTGAATACAATCCACAGAGGATGTGTGTTCCTTTCTCATTTAATAAACTCAAAATTTAATCCACTGTTAAGTGACCACTTGTTTTGAAAGGACATCAGTGAGTTAAATAATCTGCAAGCATCATTGTGTTTGAGTAGCTTGGTAGGGATATCTTCGCTGGAAACCCACAACACCTCCTGTCAATCCAAAAAACATATATTCATTGACTTAAACCCAAAAACCCACAATTATAGTGAAAAAATCAAGACCCAAAGAGATTACCCAAAAATAAAAAATATAAAATATACCCTATATGCAAAGTGTCCAAATAATGTGTCCAAACAAAAAGAACAAAAATAAAATAAAGTCCCAATATGCAAAGTGTCCAAATAATGTGTCCAAACAAAGATCAATTTCTTGATAGGAAGACGCTTCCTACTCCACTGAAGATGCAAATCAATCACAGGTGCTCTTCAAATACCTCAAAAAACAAAATCTCAACATAGTATATTACCTTTTAAATCCCAGAACTAAAGTGCCACACGTGTATCATGCAAAAAAAAACACTCCAGTGTCACAGCACTCATGTGAAAAGAAAATTAATAAATATCACTGCAAACTATATATAAAGTGCATAATTACCCTAAAACAAACAAATTCCAGCTTGTAATCAACCACATATGTACAGAGTGTCCTTCGATTGGTATCCTCTTGTTCCTCAGGACCTCACAAACAGACCAGGAATCAGTATGTGAATCATAATCATATATGGCTACAATAAATTTTATATATGATTATGATTCACATACTGATTCCTGGTCTGTTTGTGAGGTCCTAAGGAACAAGAGGATACCAATCTAAGGACACTCTGTACATATGTGGTTAATTACAAGCTGGAATTTGTTTGTTTTAGGGTAATTATGCACTTTATATATAGTTTGCAGTGATATTTATTAATTTTCTTTTCACATGAGTGCTGTGACACTGGAGTGTTTTTTTTGCATGATACACGTGTGGCACTTTAGTTCTCGGATTTAAAAGGTAATATACTATGTTGAGATTTTGTTTTTTGAGGTATTTGAAGAGCACCTGTGATTGATTTGCATCTTCTTCAGTGGAGTAGGAAGCGTCTTCCTATCAAGAAATTGATCTTTGTTTGGACACATTATTTGGACACTTTGCATATTGGGTATATTTTATATTTTTTATTTTTGGGTAATCTCTTTGGGTCTTGATTTTTTCACTATAATTGTGGGTTTTTGGGTTTAAGTCAATGAATATATGTTTTATGAGTACTTCAGGGGAAGGATATTGATATGACTTTAAGGGATTTCTGAGGATTTTATATATATACGTGTGCTGATTTATACTTATTCTCCTGTCAATCCAGCTGTTGATTACCCTACCTGACCATAAGTTAATGAATGCCATTTTATTTATTTCCTATCAAGGATACATCAGCGACATTTTACCTGTATAGTTTATCACAAAACCAAGTACGATATACTATAGACAAGTACAATGGTCATGGGATTACAATATTTTGACTTGCTGCTGGCAGCTTACTTTGACCCGTATATAAAGTATCCTCCACAAGAGTGAGTTGTGCGAGGGGAATCACTGGAGGGGGTTCTGGCTGCCATTTTCTTCCGGTCCGCAGGTACTGGCACCCCATTCTGGTTAGGGTCTTCCGTATGCACTCTCTGGGGCTTTTCCTCAACATTCTTGTGAACGCATTCCTCTTCTTCCTGAGCTTTAAGGTTCTGATTTAGTCTCTTAAGTATTTGACGTTTTTCATTCTATAATGGAAAAAAATGACACATTACTAGGTCCATGCTTCAATACTTCTACTTCTTATATTGTGTGAACACAATGACTTTTAGCCATCATTATTTATTAACTTTTTGCTCCAAGGACAATCTTTCAAGTTTGCATAAAACATGTAGACAAACACATTATGAGCTTGAAATTTTAATACCATAAACACGTTACTATAAGCAGAGGTCCTATAGATTTAAATGATAATATTCTTGATATTATTTACCCCCTGGTTGTTTTTAATTAACCACCCCCCTTCCTGTCCAGGCCATTTTTTGCAATATGGAGCTGCATGGTCATGTAACACTGCATCCAAATGTCATTTATGTCCTTTTTTCCCCCACAAATAAGAGTTTTCTTTCGGTGCTATTGGATTGCCTCTGCAGTTTTTATTTTTTTGCGCTATATTTTTTTTTTTATTTTTTTGACTTTTTGCTATTAAACATGTACAATAAAAAAAAAAAAAAAAAAAAAAAAAAAAAAAATCAAATTTCATCATTAATTTAGGCCAAAATGTATTCTGCTACATGTTATTGCTAAAAAAAAAAAAAATCCCAATACATGTAAATTAATTGGTTTACATGAATATTATAGTGTCTACAAATGGCGGCATATATACTGGATTTTTTTTTCTTTCTATATACTAGTAATGGTGGCGATTAGCGGACTTATAGCGGGACTGCGGCGGGCATTCTGACACTAGGGGGGGAACGGACTGTCACTGACATCCCCAGTGACACGAACACAGTGATCAGTGCTAATAAAAAGCTGCAATGCAGAGTCATACAAAGCAAGGTGCAGGAGTTGACAGGGGAGATATCTGTATTGTTTACATACAGGTCTCTCTCCCATCTTTGATACACTGTGATCGCTGGGTGCCGGTGGGGAATCACCGTCCGGGACCCGGTAATTGACAGGTAAGGCCGCCAATGGCAGAGTGGGTAGGGCGCACCCTCTACCCGGAAATACAAAGTCGCGTGTATATATACGTGATTTTGCGTACCCCTGCTGCCCTGTAGCAGTATTTCTGCTATAGGACGGTAGGAAAGCGGATAAAGGTTAATTTAAAAAAAATATTTGAAAATTATTTAAAAGCACACAAACAAAATATAATCTCCAATAGTTTTACAAATATTGGAACAACCAAGTTAATACATAGCCATGCCATAAAACTGAATAAAGAAGATACACAAAACTGCAAATAAATGATTAAAAACTTTTACTATTTATTGCATTTACTGTATGTGGAATAACTAATGTCTGGAGCTTTACTGGTATTAATCTATGTATATGGATCCCAATTGTGTTTTGTGTATGTTGTTTGCATATTGTGGGGCTGTACGGATATTTCATTGGGAGGGGCATCTATTTAAAAAATTACAGGTGATTGGTGGCTTTCCAGCCCCCCAAATAGCATTCAGATTAGGAATGGAAATTGGCTGGTTAGAACACCACCGTTTACTCTTTTGACTAACAAAAGTGATCATACGCTGTCCATCTCTGGTACTCAAGTAGTTTAGGATAGTTCTTGAGTCCACATATTAATATATACTACCGTACGTCAAGTTAATAGCTTTGTTCCTTTAAGCGTTCATAAATGCTAATGAGTAAATCTCAAAAAGTGATATACGTTCATCAACAATATATAAAACATTTGTGACCCATGGCAGAAAAAACATCCATATCTATTTCACCCAGAAGTTGACTATCTTTGGGTACTCCTTCCCTCTCCCCCCGATTTTGGACTATTTGTATGGTTTTCTCTTTTTATTATTTGTTTACTGATGGTACTTTATTTTTCACATTATTAGCATGAATTACTGAATTAAACTGTGGTTACATGTTTATTTATCTATTGTAGCACTTTATGAATTTTGAATTATTGATTAGGTTGTTCGTTTGATAGGCAGTGCATATCTAGTGACAGTCATCTTTCTGACAGCCCATTACTTTTTCAAAGTTGTTTTTGGCACAGGCTTAGTCACCCCCTGTCCATATGTGAAATGAGAAGATAATTGGACTCAGATGTAACATAGACACATGAGAAATCTATACACATATCCTCGCTATACCCAGGAAATATAAAGAATTTTGTGGCCCCTTGTGATGAAATTGCTTGTTTGCATTGACTGCACCGCTAAGGGTTGTGCAATAAAATATTAGGTTAAGGCAAACATAATTTCTGTCCATGCAATTTTCATTTATTTATTTAAAAAATTCTATTAAATTAAGAAACAAAAACAAAGTCTGATTTTTAGTAAATATGGAATAAGCAAAAATGAGTGGCAACTACTTTTGTCAGTTTAACATTCAAAGAAAATTGTGGGCTCTTTTTTTTTTTGTGTGTAAGGGTACCAACAAATTTGTCCATTTGTGTATGTACTTCCCTTGAGCTACATACACTCAAAGGATACAGTCATCAGGTCCTGTTTGGAAGGAGCTCAGTATCTTCAGGATTGTTTTATTAAAGACTCAAATAAATTAGTTTCACGGACATTGAAATGATAGTAGTAAAGTAAAAGGAGGAACACCAACCTGGATTGAGGTTTCTGTTTTTTTTGAGTCTTCAGTGGTATCCCTGATTTCTGTCTCTTCTTTAAACTTTCATTAGAATAAAGAGGAAATGAACATATTACAGCAGAAAAACACATGTAAACATATATTTTAGTTTTCTCTTGTGTTTAGTAGAAGTTTAGTTTATGAAAAGAATGTATTCATCGCTGCATCTTTATTTGCTAAAAACTGTATGGCACAGGTAACTTTGACAAGTTTAGTGGAGAACTCGTCTGCAAGAATATTTTAGTTTTTTGCAAAATAACCACTAACTTTATTCAATAAAAAAAAAGTTTTTCTATTCTTTAGTACTAATTTGTAAATGCAATGACCAAGAAAAAATTATTTTAATTTATCTTGTGGTGCTCTGATTTCATCAGTTACCTAAGAGTTACTGCACTTAACCATTTCAATACCGTGCAATTTTACACCTTCCTGCCCAGGCCATTTTTCAGGTTTCAGCGCTCTCACACTTTGAATGACAATTGCGCAGTCATACAACACTGTACCCAAACTAAAATTTTAGCATTTTCTTCACACAACTAGAGCTTTCTTTTGGTGGTATTTAATCACCGCTAGGGTTTTTATTTTTTGCTAAATTAACAAAAAAAGACCAAAAATGTTGAAAAAAAAAAAAACACATTTTTCTTTGTTTTCGGTTATAAAAGTTTACAAATAAATAATTGTTCTTCATAAATTTAGGCCGAGATGTATTCTGCTACATGTCTTTGGTGAAAATAACCCAAATTAGGATGTATTATTTAGTTTGTAGGAAAGTTATAAAGTTTACAAACTATGGTATATATCTGAAAATTGATCAATCCTGAAGTACTGACAGCCAATCTAATTTCTTGAGGTCCAAGAATGTCAGAATAGTACAGATATCTCCAAATGACCCCTTTTTGCAGAGTAGACAGTCCGACATATACTTCATAAGAGGCATGGCGAGTTTTTTTGAAGTTGTATTTTTTTGTCATAATTTTTCGGAAAATGAAAAAATTAAAAAAATTATTTTCACTATTTTTTTTTTTTACATACTGTCACCAGTGCAGTACAGCGTCATCATATAACTGACATGGCGGTGAACGGGGACACTGACTGGTGACAGTATGAAAAAAAAAATATATATATTTTTTTTTATTTTTATTTTTTTTTTATTACATTTTTTTTATTTTTTTTAAGATTTTTTTTCATATTTTACTTACCAAAGTATATTCTACTATGTAACTACAGTATTTTTTTTTTTTTTTTACACAATTTGCTTATAGCAAAGAATTACTTTGCTATAAGCAAGCATTTACCTGAATGAAATCGATTCATTCAGCTTTTTTTTTTTTTTTTTTTGTGCTTAGCTGTGATTTGGTCACAGCTAATCACATGACATGTGCATGTGATTAGCTGTGACCATTCACAGCTAGGCACTAGTATACAATGGATGGCATGAATCAAGCCATCCATTGTATACAACTGTCATGTGACCTGCTGTGATTGGTCACAGCAGGTCACATGGTACCAGCAACGGGAGCCGGTACTCGGATCTGTCATCGGCCGTGTCCGAGGTGCACGGGCGGTGACAGATCGCGCTGCTGCGCCGCTCTGCATTAGCGCAAACTGCACATGTGCGGGAGCACGCCAAATGGCGTGCACCCGGAATGCAGGAACACTTTTGAAGCCGCCAAAATGGCCATTGGCCGGGCGGCTAATGGTTAAAGCTGTACTCCAGGCAAAAAAAAAACGTAACCACCATAATACCAGAATAATAACTCATTCCTTCGCAAGCCAATTTTCAGTTTTTAGCACGCTCACGTGACAACTGCTCAGACATGCAACACTGTACCCAAAGGAAATTCTTATCTTATTTTGAGACAAGCTTTCTGTTTCTGTTCTGTTTCTGTTAAACAATTTTGCAAATAAATAATCTTTAATCATCTCAAAAATGTATTCTACTACATTTCTTAGGTAAAAAAACCCCAAATCAGTGTATATTATTTAGTCTGCAGGAAAGTTATAGTCTACAAAGTAAGATAAATATATAAATAATAATAATAAACTGCTAAACTTACAGCTCCCACATTCTTCAGTGCAGAGGTTAAAGAGATTGCTGGTGTACTAGGTTTTATGTGAGACTGGCCTTTGACTGGGGAACCTCCAACATCCCCATGGGCTGCATGGATGGGAGAGCCAGGAGCTGCTCCACCTATATTAGAAGGCACATTAGGATTCTTGACCCCGCGAGCTGCCAACTGCAATCAAGAAAACAAAGAAATTAAATCATAATCACAA